TCTTCTTTGGCCCTGGTGTCACTGTTCTACTTTTCCAGGGCTTGAAATCCTGTTCTTTTCCTTTTAAGAGGGACATTGGACTTGGCAAAAAAAAAAGAGAACATGGATTTGATTCTATCCCTTAGCAACTGTAGGTTAATAGACCTGTGTACCTTTGAGCAAATCAAATAATCATTCCTCACGAGACTCAATTTTTTAGAGTCTGTAAGATGGGAATGGCAATGATGTCTGCTTTGACTCACTTCAAAGGGTTGCTGTGAGATAAAATAAGATAGCCGTCATATGCCATGCAAATGTAAATTACTGCTATGCAAAAGTAAGTTATTGCTACTTCCAGAACCTCCTGTTTGAATTTAATGTATTCAAGGATAAGAATGTAAGTTACTTGTTTTATTTTCTGGGCAACGAAACTTTTTGTGTGTGTTCTGCTGAGGACTGGATGCCAGGGCCTTGTGCATGTTAAGCAAGCACACTCTACCAACTGAGCTACATCCCCAGCCCACATCTGTATTTTAAACCTCATCAATTTTCATGGACATTGCTTTTAACTAAAGTAGTTTTTGGCATTAGTAGAAAAAAAGAATTATTTCTTTGGGGTACGAGGATTTTTCTGTTTTACTCTGGCTGGTGAGGTAAGTGGTAGTTATTTGGTAAAGTTATATAGAAGAGGGGTGAAGTTCCCTTTCCCCAGTGCAGGAGGGTCCCTTTTCTACTTTAATAACTCTGTCCAGCCAGTTTTGGGAGAAAGAATTGGTGGTAAGAAGAGACTCATCTACATTGTCCTCTTACCCAACTCTCACCACCAGGTCAAAGAAGGGTGGCATGTCTCCATTCGTATACATGCACTCGCTGGGAACAGAAGACAATATCCTCAAAGATGGTGACCTACCTTAGTACTCAGGTACTTTGAACTGAAAGATTAAAAGTCCTCAGAATCAGTCTGAGAATCAAAGTCTGACTCCCACCCCTCCCCACCACTTTTTTTTCAGAAGCTTCTGAGGTTCTTTCTCTGGAGTTCCCTTATCTGGCTGAGAGATGCTTCTCCAGAAGTTATGCAGTTGTCTTCAGCATCCTCCTGGTAGTCTCAGTAACCGAATGACTCATAGGAAAAGGTAAAGGTCAGTACCACTTCTGAGAAATACTATCTGCATATCTGTTATGCAGGCTCAATCTGCATAATAAGACAACCTTTGTTTCCTCCTTTCAGATGCCTACATAAGCTTTGGCCATCTCCATCCAGAAACCTCAAGCTCCTATTCCCTTTTGAAGCTTAGGAAGCCATAGAAACTTCACCCATCTGGTTCTTCTCTGAATCTCCTATTTTTGTGCTGCTCCCTTGCACAAGTGCTCATAATAAGTTTGTAACTTTTCCTGTTAATCTGACTATTGTCAGTTTATTTCATAGACTTAAATATGGAACCTTCAGTGGGTAGAAGGACAGCTCACTTGTTTCCATATGTTCTACAAGTATCATTGAGCACCCATGTATTAAGGGTTTGACAGCACTAGGAGCATAGACCTGATTAAGACAGACTGGTTTTGACTCCCATGTTGCTTGTAGTTTTAAGAGGAAGATGGAGTTAAGTAATGTGACCAGAGAGGAAGTATACAGAGCTACATACAGGAGATTAGAGTTTTAGAGTGAGGGATGTAACCTAGCTGCTTTGGTACTGAAGGAGGCTTCTCTGAAAAGTGAAGTGTGAATATAGTTGGCCAGCCAGGGGCCATTTTGACCTGTGTGTGTGTGTGTGTGTGTGTGTGTGTGTGTGTGTGTCTGTGTGTCTGTGTGTGTTTCTCACTGGGGGTTGAATCCAGGGTCTCACTCTATTACTAAGCCCTTTATTGCTATTTTATTGTTTCGTTTTTGAGACAGGGTTTCATTATATAGCCCATGCTGGCTTATAATGATCCTCCTGCCTCAGCCTCCCTCATGCTGAGTTTGCAGGCATATATCACCACACCAAACCCTTAGAGCTATGCTAAATGTGACTTTATCTGGATACAAATATAGCACACTGTGGCCTGTTGACTTTTTCCTAGCCCCTCTCCAACCCAAGTTTACAAAAGACAGAGGATAGATGAGGGCAATTTAAAGTCTTTTTAATATGGCTGGGGGTGTAGTCACAGTGGTGGCGTGCCTAGCATGCATAGCACTGTGGGATTCGGTTCACACAAAAAAAGCCTTGAAAATAGGCTCAAAACTTTTCCTGTGCATAGCTGTGAGTTTATCATTAAATCACTGTCCATGTTGATTTTTGTCATAATTTTGGGAAGCATCAGAGCAAGACCAGGCCAGTTGGAGTAGAGGGAGCCTGAGTACTGCCTTTTGTCTATCTACATCCACATCCTAAATCGGATGTTATTTTTGAGGGATGGAGGAAGTGGTGACTTGTTCACAATCCAGAGCTTGTTTTAAAGCTGAGAGGAGTACTCCACTCATATTGCACAATTCAGTTCTGACTTCTGTCAGAGTGACCTTGCCTTAGCTGATCCTGTCTCGTCATGCTCCTCTGGGGGTCCTAAAGGGGTGGGGAATGCTCAGGACTATCTTACAGCCAGGACAAATCATCTAGTAACTTATTGCATGACCCGGATTAGAATCCATCCACTAATGCCACCTGTATGCAATACTTGTATTTGGGAGCCTTCACGAATTGGCACAGCTATTTCTTGTACATCATCTGTGAGTTAGGTAAGAATTAAGACCCTTATTTCACAGAAGAGAAAGCTGAAACTCAGGAGAGGTTATTTTGCTCAGTTCCCATAGCTAGAAAGTTGGGCCTTTGACTCAAGATTCAATGTGCTTTCCACTGTGTTCTGTGGTTATGTAGCATATAACTGATTATCCACCTGGGTCATGGATTATACACCTGAGAATTGCTTGGAATGCAAATAATGATTAGAGAGGAGGGCTTGCAAGGACTAAATTAACCATGTTTGAGCATTCTTGCCAGTTTTCCAGCATTGAAGTTGCGTTGAAGTTTGATCAAAATCAAAACGAGCAAATATCTGGCCCTGCTCTACTCATTCTTCCTTGCAAATTGCCATCTGACCCTCAAAGCCAGCAGTTGGTGTGGGAAAACCAGTTTTGTGTTTAAATCCACACTTGGGGAGACACAGGTCTCTGTGTTCTGCTGAACTCTGACCCTTGCAGAGAAGGTCCTCATTCAGTATATGCTGAAAAAGGAAACCTTAATCAGGTCATCTGCAGGGTGTCTGACTCTAGCCCATCCCCTTCATTTTCCTTTGGGAGCTAAAAAGGGCTAGGACTGCAGGAGACTCCTGCATGGCCCCACTCTTGGTAAGGTCATACTGCCTAGATAGGACTGGTCTTGATTGGCAGTGGGAGGTGACAGTGGTTCAGGGGCTTGGTGGGAAGAACTAGGTTGTTGAGGAATTGTCAAGATGGTCAGAAAAGCATCATCTGATTGGGAGAGAGAGAAGTAGGGGTGGGAGGTGGTAGGAGACTGAAGAATCTGAGGCCAAGATCCCCAGAAAGTCTTCCAAGGCAGTAGAATGGTGGGTTTGGAAAGGTGAGGAAGGGTTGGACCTCCATCTTTGTTATTTTCTGTTGCTATAACAGAATATCTAAGACTGTGTAACTTCTAAAAAAATAATGGTTCTGGAGGCTAGAAGTTCAAGAACATGGTGCAGGCATCTGCTCAGCTTCTGGTGAGGACCTCCCTCTGCTTCAGCTCACGGTGGAAAGGGGAAGGGTAAGCAGGTGAAGACGAAAGAAACACAACAGGAGGGGTGGCCTTGCTTTAGGATGACCTGCTCTTGGGAGAACTCACTCTAGTGAGAAAGGCATGGATCCCTTTTAATGACCTCATTATCTCTTAAAGGCTCCACCTCCTAACACTGCCACAGATGGAAATCAAATTTCAACACAGTTTCAGAGGGGACAAACTGAATTCAAACCATAATCCTGTCTTTTGGCAGGTTGTCCGTTGTGGTGTTGTGTAGGGGAAGGAGGCTCTGCTAAGACAACTGCAGAGAACTCCAACAGACAGATTATAGAATCAAAGCACTGTGGCTTTTGGGAGAAGACTGAACTGACACCTCTTCCTTCCTCTGAACCAACAGCTAAAGAAAGGAGAGGCTGCTGCTTCAGCCTTGCTTTGTCTTTTGTCTTGTTAATAACAATGACTTGAGTTCGGAGCACAGAAAAACATAAAACGAAATAGGGCAGGCTGCAGTACATAAACCTTAGCTGTTCCAACCATCCTAAAAAATAAATAAATAAAAAGATTTTCCTTCGGTCTTTCTCAGCAGTTTGCATCGCAGTTTTTATCTCTTTGTGGTTAAGAGACTGGCTCTTGGAACCGACTTTGGGGTTGATTTAAAGTGTGTCTACGTTCCATTTTGAGTGTCTACCCCCAGCCAGTCTTTACAGCCTTGGGACTTGGGAAGCCAGCAGAGCTGGTCGCAGGCTGAAGGAACTGGCAAATGTCCCCATCTTACTGCTGAGGCTGAGCGGCTTAGCGCTTGGTCACCTTGGAGGGATCACAGCCAGCTCCTTTACTGGGCTGAGCATAGGTATTCATGCGTGCGGGGAAGTACTGTTCAAGTGTGAGTTCCTTGTCAGGTGTCCCCTTGTTCTTACCGCCTCTGTGCAGGGCGTACGTTAGCTCGATCAAGAGTAGTTTTTGACTCTGGCTGCTTCAAATACGTTTCTGTGCCCAGAACAGTTGAGTTTCACCACGGGGCGAGTTTATCTGGAGTCTCATTTGCCCGTGGTGGTGTTCCCTGAGCTAATTCTTTGACTTTCACCTCTTCCTTGGAGGCGGGCATGAGGCCAGGGCTGGGGAAAGGCGGTCGTGTGGCTGGACAGAGGGCTGCGCAATCAGGACAGGAGACTGGCCGAGGTTCAGGACGCAACTACTAACGCCAGGGAAAAAGGAGCGAGCTCCGCACCTCACCTCTCTTAATTCCTGCGGGGAGAACGAGGTATGCCCGCCGCCGGGGCACGCGACGCACGCTCGCTGCCTTGACTTCCCCATCCCTGGGGGGCGGGGCCGCCGACTGGAGAAAGTGCGCGAAGGGGACGCGCAGCAAACGCACACGTGACGGCGCCGCGCCGCGCCGAGCCGAGCGGGACCCGGCGCCGGCGGCGGCAGCAGCAGCGGCAGCGGCAGCCGGGCGACCCGAGCGGCGCGGGCGGCCTGGAGCCCCGCGAGCGGTGCGCGCGCGCGGCCCCGGCCCAGCGCTCTCCCTCGCGCTGCACATTCTCTCCTGGCGGCGGCGCCACCTGCGGTAGCGTTCTCCCGAACATGGCGACACCGAGCAGCAGGAGGGAGTCGCGACTCCCTTTCCTATTCACCCTGGTCGCATTGCTCCCGCCCGGGGCTCTCTGCGAGGTCTGGACACAGACACTGCACGGCGGCCGTGCGCCTTTGCCCCAGGATCGGGGCTTCCTCGTGGTGCGGGGCGACCCGCGCGAGCTGTGGCTGTGGGCGCGCGGGGATGCCAGGGGGACGAGCCCCGCCGATCACAAGCCGCTCCGGACGCGGCGGAGCGCTGCCCTGCAGCCCGAGCCCATCAAGGTGTACGGACAGGTGAGCAGTTTTGCAACGCACCTCCTTCCAGCTCTTTCCTCCCCACTGCACCTTCTCAACCCCGCACCCAGCCTTTGCATCGCCTCCCAGGTGCAGGCACCGCTGGGGACTTCCCGGCTTGCGTTTGTTTTTGCTTTTTCTCCCCTTCACAGGAGTACCACCGTCAGCACTTGAATCGCATGGAGCTTTTCCTTCTTTCCGGTCCGTTTTAGCCAGTGTAGCCCAGATAACTGGTGGGGTGCACTGCCTGTGTTCCCCGGGGCGGGTGCAGACCGGTGTAGTTTCCGGCAGGTACAGGAGGGTTGCAGCTGCATCTGGCTAAAAAACGGGCTTTCTTTAGTGTATCATCAGTTGGCAGTGGAGGCGAGTACCCTGCAGTTGCAGTGCACTTACACAGAGCGGCAGGAGGAGGGGTCCCCACTTCCCATGATGAACCCCAATAAAGATGGGCAACCCTGGAAGCTTCCGCGACTGTTCTTGTACTGTGTGTGTGTGTGTATGTGTAAGGGTTAAATGTTTTATTTATTTATTTATTTATTTTGCGGGGGTGTGAGGTTCAGTCCGTTCCTCCTCCCCTTCCACCTCTTCAAGGTAATGACTTATTTTGGACAGGAATATTTTGGGGATTTTAAAAGACTGCAATAAATTTGGTGGGCATTATTATTCAGTAAGTGATTTATTTCTATCCAGTCAATGGGTTTATTAGATTATAAGTAACATGAATTTCACTTTTATGATCAGACTTACTGCTAAGAACTGCAAACCCAGTTTGTAGGTTAGTATCAGCATTAGCTAAATTAATTTTCTTCGTGTTATTGCCTCAGATTACCTACTCCTGCTGTCAAGATTGACATCAGCAAAACTCCACCGTTGGTGGGGGAGAGAAGGTGGGACCAGTGGAGGTGGTAAATACTGTATGCACAGTTCCTAGCGTCATCGTTCCCTTCTAAAGTAGAAATGAAAATTAGCCTGAGTTTGAGCCTTTCTTCACATTTTGCTAGAGCCAGTGTTTCCTTCCCTCAATACATAGAGTTAAACGTTCAAGTCTTGGAGCCAGGAAAAACCTTATAAACTGTCATCCTATTGTGTCATTTCTTGGTGAAGAAATCCAAGCTTGGAAAGGTGAAGTGACTAGTCCAAGGTCACATGGGAAGGGTTGCCTGTCTTTAGTTTTTGTCTGCATTGTCTCGTTGAGCTGTGGGTCACCAGTCTCTTTAAGTAATGCTTCTTAAATACCTCCCCTTTCTATAGAGCCTTATGGAAAGCCACAGAGCTCTAAAGGGGAGTGGTGCTGGTGGATTGAACTTCAACCTCCATCATCCCTTGGGTAAGAGTAGGTGCCAAAGGGTCTGTAACTGCTGAGGGGCTCAGGCTGCTGGAGCACCTGCTCTGTCCCTCTGGGCCCAGACCCTGTCTTCCCATCCCCCATCTGAAACTTCTTTTTTGCACTGTTAAAAGGAGTCAGCAAGATCCTTGCTCTCCCCAGGGAGGACAGTTTGGGACTGATGGTGTGTGTGTAGGGGATAGATTCTCCATCATTCCCTGAGTCCTCTCCAGCCTGCTCAGCATTGCTGTGCTCTTGAGTCAGCACTCTGGGGGCTGGGAGCAGGAGGGGTGGAGGGGGACCCTCCCAGAGCTTAGGTGCCCTGCCACAATAGTTTTGGTTGAGGAAGGAGCTTTCTGGTCTCAAAAATATTCATGCAGGTACCATTTCTTCCTTGGGGTTGGTGTGTGAAAAAATCTCTTAGGGATTTGAGGCAAGTTTGATGAACTCTGTACTCATTGGGAACCACTCCAAAACTCTCAGCTTTTCTGTTTCTGGGCCAGCCAGACTGAGTTGGGTTCAGTTAAAGGATGCCAAACTAGCAGTTGAACTCTTAATGAGAGATTCCTACCAAACAGTGAGGACCGAAGGCATTGTTTTCCTTCTCTGTGGCTGTCTTCCTGTGCCCTTGTTCTCTGTTTAATGAAAAATGGCATTAACTTTCATCTTCAAAGATTGGAGTCAGTTAGAAGGAAGAACTTCTTGGTGTGGGCTTTCTGCTGTAAGTCCTGTTTTGTGTAGACCCTTCTGATTGCAAACACAGGAATCTGGAATCAGAGGGGACTTGGGGCTCCTCTTGAAGCTCTGGAGTAACTCACATTTATTTGGAATAACCTAGCAAGGGTGACCATTTGCCTGTTATTCCTGGGGTAGACCTAATGATGAGTAGCGCCCCCTTCACTCTCAAAACTGTCAGAATGCATTTCTAAATTACATGGTCATGCTACTTCTAAGTCCTACTCCACGTTCCACTTTATAATCCCCCTTCAACTTTTCAACCGAAGCAATCACAGCATTTTCCTACAGTATTGCTTAACTGAAGTGAGGTTCTGAAGGAGTGCAGAGGAGTGGGGAATAAGATTTCATCCCTGCCTTCAGGAAAGTTTCAATTTAAGAGGAGAGGAAGCAGATGTAGATACAGGGATGTAAGTTTACCTGATGGGAAACAGCAGGCATAGGTGTATGAAACCAGCCACATCCTCTCAGTGGTATGTTAGCAGGCTGTGTGGTAAGGGAGATACCTGGCTGGTTAGATGTAGTGGCAAGGTGGGTGGGTTCAGACCCTTTGCAATTTCTTGCCTTCTGACCTTGATGAGCTTAAGGGAATACTTGGTAGCCCTGGTCAGGGCTAGAAGCAGAAGCAGCAGCAGCCAGAAAGAAGGCTGAGAGGTGAGGAAGGCCAGGAGCTCCAGGGAAAGGAAGGCTCGTGCAGAGGGAACACTGCATGGAAGAAAGAGCGAGTTGAGTGTTGGAGTAACACAGGAGCATTTCTTTTTCCCCATCCTGCTAAACCTATAGAGTAAACTAGGCTTTGTTGTTTTGACCATGAAACTCCTCTAAGATTTTCTAATGTGAGGAGAGTGGTTTCTGACATGATCACTTAGAGGTATGTTTGTAATATGTGAAAAACAATGTCCTATCAGAAACTAGGACTTTCTGCCCAATTCAAAGTTTAGAAGGTGAGCCTTGTCTTAAGAAGGCCAAATCCAAGAAGTGGGACTCCTTAGTTTTTGCCACATGGATTTCTTAATGGTTCCATTTCTACTCCATGTCTCTGTGCCATCTTACCTGCTTTGCCCTTTGCCTGAAAGGTCTTCCGCCACTCTTATCCTCCACAGGAAAACTCCTGTTCCATTCTTCCTGTTCAAAGAGTCCCTCCTGGTATTTCCAGGCTTCTGTGTGAAGGATTCTGTTGAGTCTGGTCCTAGCACCTACTGCTTTATGTCACAATTACTTAATGTCTTATCTCCCTCTGTGTTCCTTGAGGATACAGACGTAGGCCTTCTCTGTTTCCCTGCACCAGGAGGCTCTTAATGAGTATTTGTGGACCAGCTGCACACCTGGAAGAAGAGAGGCCTGGAGGGTAGAGAACACATTGAAATTATACAAAAGGTATTTATAAGGAGGACCATGGTGGTGAGCCCCACAGACAGTGAAAACGAGTTGGCTCTCTAGGTGGTGAGAATTGCAAATGGTTTGGCCCTTGGGTTGTGGAGGCCTGATTTTCTTGTGTTATCCGGCAGTTATCTTGAATGAAGAGCTAGGATTCTATTTTAGGACTCTCTTTTAGGACTATCTTGTGCTAATGGTATTGTTTTTTTGGGAAAAATCTTTTGGAATAAAGCTCAAAGCCTAGCAGGATTTACAGATTTATTTTGCTTCCAACAATCTCTCTCTTCATAATTCCTGTATTTCAGAGACCCGGGAGTGTCCTCATTTGAGAGTGAAAATAAAAGTGTCTGTTACAGCACAAGGCCCTGGGATAAAGAGCCTTCTTTGGGGTTAGAATACTATTTGGCTTTAGATCTCATTTGAGTAGATTCTTGCATGACACTCTTGCTTGGGAAAGAATTGGCTAGTTGATTCTGATGTTAGAATGTTTGACTTGTGTGCTTCCAAGTGAAGAGCAGAAGGCAAAGCATTTGTTGTTTCCAAGGTGACTTCTATGTAGGTGTAGGTGAAGACTTGCTTGTCCTCTTGAGATGGCTCAATAAGGGATGTGACCTTGAAAGACTTCCTGGTTGCACTTGGCAGCTCGTACTGAGTTCTGTCTTGTCTCTGGCCACTGTGTGGTTCATCAGTAGCTTGTGTAACTTGGGCATGGATAGTGAAGGCTTTGAGAGGTAGAAGGAATGGAGGATACAGTGACATTGAGAATTAAAGGGGAGAAATGAAGGGCATCCACTTGGTTTACCAAACAAAATTTGTATGAAGGACTAGTGATAAGTACATTGTCTTCCCTATCCCACCCTGTTTATCCTGAGCCTCTTCTCAGTTGTCACCCACTCTCATCAGGTTTTTATATGTCCTTCCAGAAATACCCTATGCATATGGGTACATGTGTGTACGTAAAATCGTGAACTTGAATTATCAGTAGCTTTGTTACCTGTCGCTCCTGTTATCATGGATAATGAGATTAACTTTAGCTAGAAAATATATTTGTGGCTTTATGACTGACTTGAAGTGTCATAGTATAAAACAGATTGTTCATTTTTCAGGTCAAAGAAAACTTCCCTCTCATTTTCCTTGGAGGGCTCCTGTGGGCCAGCAGAGCAGCATGATGGGGCCCTCTTATAGCTTGGAGAGATACTGGGCAGCAGCTCTCTAGAGATGTAGAGCCCAGCTTTGTAAGAACATCAGAATATAAAGATCATGGATCTTGGTTTTAACTTGTGTTCTTTTCAAGAATGTTTTCATTATATTCTGCAAAGTGAAGTTAATGGTATGCTTAATAAATTGCTTTGAGACCTGGGATCCACAAGGTAGATCTTAATAGCAGTGAATATCCCCAAGCAAAGGGGGATGTTGTAGAAACATTCCAGTGTCAGATTCTAGTCTGTTTCTCCTTAGAGATCACAGCCATCTTTGGAGCGTCATTGTTTAATCCCAGGCAGTGATAGGCGCAGCCAGCCCGCTTCTGTCCACAGAAGGGACAGGGAGGGAGGGTCACAGGGGC